TGCCCTACTCAAATACTGGCAGGTTCCTAAATGCTCTGACAGAATGCCTCACATCTTAAGTTGCTTTGAGAAACCTGATTAAGTCACCCATAAACGTTTCAATGGGAATCTGGCATGGCTTTGTAGTGGCATAGCAAGATGTGTGAATAAGTCCCAGGACATAACTGGCATGTGAGGTACTCCTCATTCTAGTGGCCCCATAGCTTGGTTCTTCTCTCAAATAGAGTGAGGGTGAGCATAAACAACAAAAGGCAAAGCATATTCAGGTATGGCTTCTTCATTACTGAGGTCTCAATGCATTTAGCCTTGACTATAATTCTTTCTACACTGTAGTGGGGTCCCCAAGCACCTCAAGTAGGAACAGTTGGGTGCACTGTTTTTCCCACAATGCTTAGTCACACTGGTGTTCAAAAAACATTAGCTAAATGTACTGTATCATATCTTGCCCCCAAAAGTACTTATAATAACATCTTAAGCTTCACTGTGACAAATGCAGCATGCAGTGGCTAAAAGTTTGCAATACCTATCATTTAAATCTCAATAACCAAACTTTATGCCATCCCAGTTGCTCTGTCACTCAAACTCTGATACCCAGTTTCCTCACATAAAACAAAGATACTAACAGTATATACTTCATTGGGTGATGGTGAAGATTTAATATGACAGCCAATGTAAAGCATAAGCACAGTATAACTCTATCAGGGCAAAATGATCCACAATATGAGGGTAAAGAGGCACCCAAAAATAAGTCCCATTTAAATACACATATATAAATGTGTATTTTCAATTTTTGACAAAGCATTCCCAATAGACCCATGTTACCCCTCACACTGTCGTATCAGCAGTCACACTTGGAAAAATACTGTCATATGCTGGTGTCGCTGCTGGTTCCTGGCCACTGCCATTGTGTCAGATCCTGTGCCTGGTCCTTTGGGAAGTTCTTTCAATTTAACAGACTATTAATGTCAAGCCTCCTAGAGACAGCAACTCAGCTCAGGCTGTCAGCGACCGGCAAATGCCACCAGGAACACACAGTAAGCCCACCTGCCCCTTCCGGGCCAGTATGGCTT